CGCCGGCCCGGGCTCCCGCCGCTCCTTGCTCAGCGAGAGCGAGCGCGCCCGCAGCGCGGCGTACACCCGCTTCCACTGGCGCAGGCCGCTGCCCGCTTTCTGCAGGGAGACACGGGGGAGGGGGAGACGGGGGAGCGGTGAGAGGGCAGGCCTGCCCACCTGCCCCCAGAGCTGGAGGGGGCCCGAGAAGCAGTGCACAGCAGTGGGGTCAGATCCCCACCCACTGCCCACCAGAAGCCCCCTGCTCCACAGTCCACCAGCTCTCAGCCCCTCACCTGCCAACCCCGACCTTCTCCCACTCTAAATACCAGCATCTTGGGCTGGATGGTTAGCTCAGTTGGATAAACCTTGGTGCTGATAACAACAAGGTCCAGGGTTCAATCCCTGTACCAGCCAGCTGCCCAAAATAAATAAGTAAATAAACACCAGCATCAGCACCCATCGGGCGTTGCCAATGCCCCAGACACCCAGCACAGGCCCCTACCCATCATGACCCACCTCAAATAAAGTTTGTGTAAAGGCATTCCTAGTCCACACCCCCTCCACACACTGCCCCTCCTCACAACAAGAGGGTCAGGAGCTGTCCCAACTCACGGGGGGCTGCCTCCCACTCAAGACTCCATTCAGAGTCCCCTGCCCAGAAGCTGCTCTCAGGGCCACCCAGGGCCACCATGTTGTCAAAGCCAGTGGCCGCATCCCCACCCTTGTCTTAACCTCCTGGCATCACTGACACAGCCAGCCTCCTTCTCTTTCCAAACCCACTCTTGGCATCTGAGACCCCCACATTCCCTGGTTTTCTTCTTAATTCCACTGGGTCCTTCTTAGTCTCCTCCACTGTCCCGCCCCATCCTCCACACCTGTAGTTGTCAAGTGGGGCGAATTGCCTCCAGGGGACATTTGTGTGGAGACACCTGGAGGGGTGCTATGGCATTTAGCAGGCAGAGGCTGGGGGTGCTGCTAAACACCGCACAATGTGCTGGACAGTCCCCTCACAACAAAAAATCATCCTGCCCAAAATGTCGACAGAGCCGAGGATAAGAGGCCCTGCCCTAAAGGAGGGGGAGCACCAGAACGTGGTCCTGGGCTCTCCTCTCCCTGCCTGCTCGCCTCAGGGATGTCATCTATGCCCGCAGCTTTAGACCTGGTCCATCTGCTGATGACTATCCCCAAATGTATATCCCTGGCCCCGGCCCCCCATCACCCAGCCAGTCCTGGACCCCCACGGGCTGCTCAGCATCTCCACCTGCCTGCCCCACAGACATGTGACACGCCACTCACTCGCTCCAGGGCACACGGTTTCTCGCCATCAAACCCATTCTCCCCGCCACCCCATCTTTCCCAGCACAGTCAATCCACCCACTGCTCAGAAGCGTGGGAGCTGCCCTCGACTCCTCCCTTTTCCTCACCCTTGACATCCAACCCATCAGGAAGTCACAACTGCTCTGCTTCCAAAGCATCACCTGCCTCCAATGTTTCTGCTACTGCCCTCTCCAGGCCATCACCACCTCTTGCCTGGACAATGGCACAGACCACCCCAGTCTCCATTCTCGCCTCCTGCAACCCATTCTCCAGCCAGCAGCTGCAGCCACCATTCTAGAGTGAAGGAGATCACGTCTGTCCCCCGCTCAGCATCCTCTCACGGAATCCCATCGCCCTTGGAGTCAAACCTAAGGTCTTCTGTGGTCTGGCCCCTGCCTCTGGCCAAACTTCCTTCTCCCTCCCTCTTTCTCATGATGTCAAGCCGCAGGGCCTTTGCCAGCGAGCAGCTGAGCCCCGTCCCAGGGGCTTTGCACTTGCTCTCCCTTCTTCTCCCTGGAGCCCCTCCCCCCCACTTCTTTATATGGCTGCCCCCTCTCTCTTCAGGTCTGAGCGCCAGCATCACCTCCTCAGTGAGGCATTCTCTGGCCAGGGCAGGTGTTCACAAACAGGTACTGAAGAAATAAAGTTATGGTCCCTGGGGCGCTCTGAGGGCAGGGGCTCCGTCTCCCCATCAGACGGAGGGTCCCTTCCTGCTGGCTGGTGGCCCACCTACTACACACCCAGCACAAACCTCTGCCCTCAGAGCGAACAGACCAGACAGGATGAGTACGGCCCGCGTGTGGCCTCCCACCAAGCCCATCGTGCGGGGAGCCCTGCCCGCTGCCGCAGAACCACTGGACCCGGACAAAGCAGGGGACAGCAGGGCTCTCCAGGGAGGATTTTAGCGCTACAGCCAGGTGGTGACGAGGGCACCTCTCTGAGCCTAAACCAGCTGGATGACCTGGGATAAGCCAAGCCCTCTCCTGGCATCAGTGTCCCCCGCTGATAAAACGAGAGGTAAACTAGCCAGTCTCCAAGGTCGCGTCCAGCTTAAATGCCGGGTCTGCGGCTGCAGGCAGGGATGTGTCACACACCCTCTCTCTCCTGCTCTGCCTGACAATAGTGAGTGGTCTCTGAAAGAGGCTGGGGGCTGGGAGGGGACAAGGAGAGGCTTGAACTTCTGTCTGGCTGGCAGACAGGACCCTGGACAGACTAAGGGCCTGAAGCTGACTCAAGGACCCCTCCCCTACCGCGCAGACCACGGCACCAAGGGGGTGAGTGACATCGGGCTTTAGCAGCAAGGGGTGGGAGCCCCTGCCCTCCAGAACCCATCAGTAAGCAGCAAGGGGCCGGCTCCTGTCCCTGCCCAGCACGGAGGCCGGGCTGCCAGGGGCCACCCACAGCTGGGGGTCAGGCTACCCAGCAGGAGGAGCCAGCAGCTGTCGCGAGAACCCTCCAAGTAGCTCAGCACGGACTGAAAGGGTGTGCCATCTTGCCGGCTCTTTTCTGGTCTCCATGGCAGCCTCACCTCCCCCAGCCCCCACTTCCTCTCCAGCTCAGCTGGGTGTTCTGCCTTCTCCCTTCCCGCTCCTACACCCCAGGCCGCAGGTGCCAGGAACACACTGAGTGCCACACTCTCAGAGCCGCTGTCCCCAGGATACCTCCACCGGGCCCTCAGATGTCACACAGCCCCAACAGAACCCCTCGGCTTCCTCTCCCCAAACCTGCTCCTTAAGTGCCCTGGACCCAGGGGAGGGTACCACCACCCACCACCCTTCCCACCGCCCAAGCCAGGAACCCAGGAAGCATGTCACCTCCTCCTCCTTCCTCCTACACCACCCAGCCATCAGCAGCCCAGCCATCCCTTCCCTAGAACCTCTCCCTAAATGGTCCCCTCCCTTCCCCCCCCACGACAGCAATGGCGTTGTCTCCTCCTGCCACGGACACAACACCTGTCTGCTGACGTCACACACACACCCCTCCGCCTTTCCCCCAGACTCTCCATGAGGGCATCTCCCATGTCAGACCACTCCCCTCCCTCTCTGCTTTGCGCATTCTCACACCTTCCAAGCCTCAGCCTTCTGGACACCTCCCCACCCCACTGAGGCCCCCTGAGCTCCTCCATCACGTGTGAGGACCAATCGTGAGGATCTGTGCATGCACAATGACCGTGCAACATGCACTTTCTCTGCTTGTCTTGGACCCCAGGAGGGCAGGACCTGCCTGGCCCCCTCACCTCTGAATCCCCAGAACCTCAACAGAGTGTCCCGAGCAGGGGGGCCTTAGTGTCATCGGCAGATGAGTGCCGGTCCCACCCAGATACACGTCTTACTTCACCCACACGCGTGGAGGAGAATAAGTGTCCCCATCTTACAGATCAGAAAGTGAGGCTTGGGGAGGTTAAGACGGGTGCCGAAAGCCATATGCTGGACGTGTGGCTGGGCAGGAACTCAAAGCTTATGCTCTTTCCAGGTAGCACAAGACCCCCAGAAGGCAGGGTGGAAAATTCAAATAGTCACAGAAAGCCAAAGAACAGTGACTGCCAAGTGCCAGGCACATTACTTAGATCATCTCATTTAATCCCCAGCAATATACTTAGGAGCTGGGGATTATTGTCAGCTCCATTTTCAGACACGGACACTGAATCATAGGTAGGGGAGTGGCCCGAGCTCTCAGCAACGCGTGGTGCTGTCAAGCGTCAGACCCAGACTATTTGTGGCCACTTCGCTCGTTCTGTGCAGGCTGCAGAGGGCTGCTGTCTCCCTCTTCCCCAGACAAGGCACCGTGGAGCCAGGGCCCCGCCCTTCCTCTTTTCGGGATCCTGTCTTCCCTCGCCTTTCCCATCCACTCCCCCAGGCCCCGGGCCAGGCCCCCTTCGGCTCTCACCTGGATCTCTGGTCTTCTTGCCTTCAGTCTGGCCCCTCTAATTTGCTCCCAGCATGCCAAAAGGGTAATTTAAAGCTCTAACTCTCTCCTGGAAGAGCTCCCAGGGACTTTCAGTTGCCCTTAGGTGAAGACCAAACCCTTTGCTGGCCCTGCAAGGCCCTGACCAGGCTGGCCTCTGCTTTCTTCTTGGGCTTCAGCTCCCTGAAGAGAATTACCCTGGCCTTGCTCCCTCATTTTCCATGAGCCCCAGCAGCCATTTTTGCAGTGATCTGCCAACCAAGGATCACTGTGGAATGGTTTTGTCGGAATTCCAAACACAACTTGATCATCCCTAGCCCAGCAAAGACTACCTCTCTTGTTAACCTCCTTTTCTTGAGTTAAGTGCCCCCAACCAGAAGTTCTTCCTAGCATCTATCTTCAGAGGTGCCCCAGCTATCTAAGGACTGCAGGGAGACAAAAGAGGGCAATTTAGGGTGGCTTCTGCAGCGCCAGCATCTCAGAAACCCATGGACCATTCGCTGCCGCACAGGCCTGGCATGTGCGTGCTACGCCCTGACTTGCACAAGACCTCCTGGGCTGTGCTTGCCCTCTGTTGACCACTTGTGTTGGGGTCATGAGACATACATAATGGAGAAGCCAGAAAGGAGGAAGGGCCATGATCTGCCAGCAGATCACATGCCTCGCCATGCAAGAAAAGCCAATCTGGAGCCCCCTTTAACTTTATAGACTTGAAGGAATTAAGGAAACAGAGGAAGTGATTATGTCAACAAGGAGTTGAATAAACAGGGGAAGTGGGAACATCAACAAAGACTGAGTTGGTGGAGCAGGTAGTCATGTTCACAAGGAGTTAAACAGAGGAAGCGATAGTGTCAACAGGACTCCACAACAGAGGTGACACGTCAAGGGAGAGTTAAGTAAGCTCAGGAAGTGATAAAGAAAAAACCAGGTGACAAATACCATCAGGTGTTAACCAAAGATCTGGAGGGCTGGAAATCGAGATGGCTTTACAGTCCGTCCATCCCAACCCTGAGCCTGTCTCCCATGTCCTGAGGCCGGAAACGCCAGCCTCTACCAGTCTCAAGGCTGTGTCCTCGCCTCCCTTCCAGTGTGCCCCCGTCCCAGTGCCCTGAAGACACCATGAAAATACTGAAGGTGCAGGCACACTTGTAGGTACTAGGGATGGGCCGTGAGCAAGGAAACCCCTGCCCTCAGGGAGCTTATACTGTAGCTGGGAGGCAGGCGAGAGGGAAGACAGACCCACAAGGTGTGTAACAGGAGAAGGTGCGAACAAGCAGAACGAAGCAGCAGCGAAGGGAGACACGAAATGTCAAGCGTGGAGATGAAAAGCTCAGTGAAGGCCTAAAAACCTGAAAAAAGTGAAGTGAGTCATGCGGCTATGGAGGTGGGGAGGCCGCCAGAGAGGGACATTCCAGACGGGTGATGACAAGTGCAGAGTCTCTGGGTGGAAGGCCAGGGTGTTTTTAAGTGACGACAGAGCCACACAGGAGGAGTGGGTCATGTGACTGACATGAGGGTGGGTGGGCCCAGGGAGGAAGGAGGAGACAGCACCCAGAGTAGCTCATTTCGGGTCACCGGAGTCATGGGCTGGAACCCCACGCCGAGGCTGAGCTCTGCAGCCCTCCCGGCCACCCTCGCCCTTGCACGCACACGCCGGCCGCTCACCCCATCGGTGAAGAAGCTTCGAAGCATCCGCAGGCTGGGTACTCGGTTCGGCAGGCGCCTGTGGAGCAAGGACCGAGGGTGAAGGATGTGGGAGGCATGGCTGGGACCTCACTCTCTTGTCACCCACCACTCCCAGGGCCCAGAGGCCTTTTAGGGAGGCAGCACACTCCCCAGTGTGCCAAGAGCCCCGCCTCAGGCCAGCCAAGGTGGCTGTGGCCACCCACCCCATGTCCAGACAAGGCCTCACCGCAGAGCCCGGCCCTCGTCGCGGAAGGTGTTAAGCCCATCATCGCAGGACTTGGAGCGCTCCGTGGTGATGGCCAGCAGGTAGGAGGAGCGGCGGCCAGGCTTGATGCTGCCTGCAAAGCCGCCCATGTGGGCCTCAGGGTCAGCGGGCGCCAGGTCAGGGGCTTCCCCGGAGACCTCCCTTGAGGGCAGGATCAGGAGGTGACTCCCCATGGGGCCCCAGGAGGAGCAGAAACCAGGGGGAAAAGAACAGACATCAGGCAGCAGGCTCAACAGGGAGCCCTGGGGACCAGACGACCAGGGAGAGGCCAGGGCTGGGGCATGGGGAGCACTCACTGCAGTCCTGCGAATAATGGCGGCTGAGGGCAAAGGTGAAGGTTGGGGAGGACGGGCTGGTGCCCAGCACGGGGGCCGAGTTCATGGCACTGGAGACCACAGCGGAGGCAGGGACGTGCTTGGCTTGGAGGTCAATGCTGGGGCTGGTGGGCTCATCTGTGTGAGTGGAGGGAGTGAGGCTTGAAGGCAGCAGGAAGCCGAACCTGCCTGACCCCCAGCCTTGCAGCCCCACTGCCCCGCACCCCCCAGCCTCAGACCACAACCTGAAGGCTCCACACGCCCTCCGGGCCCTGCTCGTGACACACCACTGCCAAGTGTGACCAGCGCACCAGACTCTGCTCATGGAATCTCGCCCATCAGCAGGGACTGAGCCTCCCCACACCAAGGGCGCCAGAAGTGGGGCCATCCTCCTTAGACCCGGTCCTGAGGGCAGGGCCAACATCCCCCTCATCAGACTGAGAGCTTCCTGAGGGCAGGGACTGTGTCTTCCCACAAGACTGGGAGCTCCCTGAGGGGAAAGACTGTCGCCCCCACCAGCTGGGGGTTCCTTGAGGGCAGGGATGACACCTCCCCCGAGAATGAAAGCAGTCTGCAGGTAGGGGCTTTACCTCCCACCTAGTCTGGGGCTCACGAAAGGAAGGGGCTGTGTCACCTCTCCAGCTGCAGGCTGGCCAGGCTGGGTCTCCCGCTGCCCCGGCCTCTTCCCCTCACTACCTAGGCTGCCCTGGGTGAGCTCACCTCTCAGCTCCAGTTACCGTCTCTCGGGCCCTGGCTGCCCGCTTCATTATCCTGTATTCTGCTCTTTCTTCAGAGCCCCTAGGCTCAGCCCAGCCCACCCCGCTCCCTCATGGGCGCTTCACATTCAACAAGCCCTAAACCTTTTCCTGCTCTTCCTGCCCCCTGTCATTCCCAATATGGGGGTGAGACACCGCCCTCTAGGAAGGCCAGAAACCTGGGAATCACCCCAGCCTCCTACTCCTTGCCTCTACCTTATCCAACAGCTAAAGGCCAGCCTTCGAAAGTTCCCCTGCTCTCAGGATAAAGTCCAAACCCCTAGCGACTCCTGCCCTGGGAGGACATCCTGCCTCTCCCACTTCAGTGTCTTTGCATATTCTGTTCTCTCTCGCTGAACATTCCCCCCAAGTCAGCAGAAGGTCCTTTCTCCAAGATTCTCTCCATGGCCACCATGCCGCATTTAGGTCACACAGCCTTTCTCTGTCCTCCTAGCGCTCCCTGTATTATCACACACTCGTCCCACTGGACTGCTGCTGTCCGGCTGTCTATCCCCGCTGCTGGACCACACAGTCCAGGAGAGCACAGAGCCAAGCACAGTGCCTGACGCAAATGCTTGTTGGATGGAGGGTGGGTGGAAGGAGCAAAGAGTGAAAGATAGAAAGGAAGAATGGAAGAAAGAAAGAATGGAAGGATAGAAGGAGGGTGAAAGAAAAGAATGATGGATGGATGGACGGAAGGAAGGAACAAAGGAATGAATGAAGAAAGGAAGGAGGGAGGGAGGAAGGGGAAGAAGGAAGGAAGAATGGATGGATGGATGGAAGACAAAGTAGATGGAAAGATGGCTGGAAGGATGAATGGATGGGAGCTAGGATGGAGGAAGGATGACAGAAGATGAAAAGAAAAATGGAAGGATGGATGGATAAATGGATGGATGACGGATGGACAGATGAGTAGATGGACAGAGAAACAAGATCAACAGCCAGCCCAGAGTTTGGCCCATGGCAGACAGGTGGGTGGGGTACAATGGGAGCTGACAACCAAGTTTCCCAAGACAGCCACCTGCACATCACTCACCGATGAAGGGAATGGAGGCCAGAGAGTCTTCAGTAGCAGCCAAAGGGGCCACCTTCCTGCCCAGGCGTTCCCCTCGCCCACTGGCCTCTGGCTCTGGGGACTCATCACCAAATCCAAGGTTCATCTGCCTTGCAGGGGTCAGCTGGGCCTTGCGACCTGTCGGAGGCTTCTGCCTCAGGACCACCTCATCACGGTGATCCTCAGCTGGAGGATCCAGGGACCGGGTGCTGGGTTCCAGCCGGGCAACCCTGGGTGGTTCGGAGGCCTCTGGCGGGAATGGTGCAGGGGACTGGGCCAAGTTGAAGGTGGGCAGCCCCCCAAAGGGTGAGTCCCGGAAGGAGAGTGCGTGCAAGAGGCCAGTCCGGCGCTGGAATGATGGACTGTAGCTCCGGTACCCGATGTACCCACTGTCATCCAGACCCTGCAGGCCAGGTGGGGGTGGGGCCTGGGGGCCCAGCAGGTCCCGAGGAGGGCAGGCAGGGGTGCGGGTGGATGGACGCTGGGGAGCCCAGCCACAGCGTTCAAAGTGGGGCGACACCAGTGTCCCTGGCCCCAGTGCCTCAGCCGAGCGGGTGGCCCGGCTCAGGTAGTTGTCTGAGCGAGCTCGGTGCCAGCCCTCCTGGCCCAGTGGACTCAAGGCATCCTGGGAAGTGGAGCAGGGCCACGGGTGGTGGGCAGTCATGTCTTCCAACCGGTCCTGGGAGGCGCTGCGGGCCCGGGGAGGCATGGCTGGGCACCGTCTCTCCCCTGCCCTGCGGGGTACCTGGTTTGACAGCCAGTGTGACAAAGCCTGCTGGCACTCCAGTCTGCTGGGGGGCACCCTGCTGCCAGGCTCCGGGAAGGCATGGGGAGTCCGGGGCTCCGACGGGAGGTGGGGGAAGGCACCAGGGCTGGGGCGGGGCTGGCTCATTCCCAAAGAAGAGTTGTTCGGATGGGCACGGGTGGTAGACGGGATGCGGGGCCCTGGGTCACTCCAGGCAGCAGGACTCCGAGGGTTACTAGGTAGTGCTGAGATGGGCTCAGGCACCATAGTGGCCCAGGTGGAGACCCGGGCTGGCGGGGCGTAGGTCTTGCGTGGGTAGCAGATCGGGGGCGGCTCTGGGATGCTGCGGGCCTCTCCAGAATAGGGCTCGTTCCCCTTCAGGTAGGCGTCCTGGGAGTAGGCCTGGCCAGAGACACAGAGGCACGTGAGCAGGGCTGACAGGTCCCATGGGGAAGGGCTAGGGGAGCCCTAGGAGGCCAAGGCCCCCAGAAGGGGACTGAGGGACAGGGCCAAGCAGGGGGAGTCTTGAGTGGGTGGGGGCTGACGAGCATGCTCCAAATAGAGTCCAGGGGGAGAACAAAGAAGTAAGAGGCCTTACACACACACACACACACACACACACACACACACACACACACACTCACTCACTCACTCACTCCAGAAAGAGCTGGGATTTCTTTAAGACTTATGACAAGGACTGCCTTTAGCCACAAACATTCCAACATCTGTTTTCTGAGGTCCACCCCCCATCCTGGCCTCCACTGCCTGCTGCCTTATGTCCAGCGATGCCCACAGCCCCTCGGGTGGGGCTGGGAAACCCCAAAGGACACCAGTCAAGGGACTACAGAGAAGAAAGCCAGTGAAGGGGTGTGTCCGGGGTGGGCTGGGGGTGAGTGGGGACTGGGAGAGCTCAGCTGTCCCTCCATCCCCTGGCTGGGGAGCTGGGGTGAGGAGGAATTGCCCACCTCCTGCTCCCTCGGGGTCAGGCTCGGGAGGAGGGGCCAGACTGGCTGAGGGTCCTTAGGCCACCTTCTGCCACTTCTCAGCCTGGAATTTGGCACTGAGAGCTGAGGCTGACACTGCATTGCTGAGGAGTGACAGGGCCAGCGCCCAGGCCCCGCCAAAAAAGGAGGCGCCCCCAGAGACAGTGGCCTGTGGCCCTGGCCCAGCCTGGCCCTTGACGAGCTGCCTGGGGGCCCAGCTCAGGACGAAGTGTCGAAGGGTGGGAGAGTGCAACTAAACACACACCCCACACCACAAGGAGACACAGGAAGACACACACCCAGACACACACACACACACACACACAGCGAAACACAATGAGAAACACACACAAATACCTACGCCTCCAGTCCCAGGCCCAAACATCATGTGATGAGAATGACCTAAACCACACCCCACACACTCGGCCCCCTCCAGACCGGCACACAGGCCGGGGACAGACATACCTCTCCCTCCTGCCATCCTGCCGGCTCCCCGGGCTCCCTGCATCATGCTGGTGGCGGTAGCATCCCGGCCCGCCCCCGCCCTCCCCGCCCCGGCTAACACCCCACTGACCACTGCGGCCGGCCCTGGCCAGAACCTTCGGGCCCCCTCAGTCTGCCCTCCCTGTGGCTCCCCCTCGGCCCCCACCCGGTTCTCCCTCGGCTGGCTGGCTGGCGGGAGAAGGGATGGGAGGATGGGTGTGGAGGGGCCTCGCCGCGTCGGTGGTGGCGTCAGCAGCTGCCGCCGCCCGATTGGCCTCCAGCCTTGGCTCCCAACCACAGGAATGCCCGAGCCCCACCCTCTGGTCTGCTGGAGATGGGGGGGCCAGTGGAGGCCCCCAGAGGCTGACATCTGGAGCTGCCAGCCCACCCGAGCCTGGGGAGCAGAGCTCCAGGGTGCTGCCCTTCTCACCCTTTGCCCCTGCTGGCTGGGGAGAGTGGGGGACACCCTGGCTTCCCCCACTCCAGTCACCGCCCTCTTAGCTGGCCTGGCCTCAGCCTGGGGGGAGCTACACGGCAGGGCCTTTGAGACTCAGGGTGAGCGACGCACTGGGCCCCCATTCTTTCTTCCCCCTCCCCAGGAAAAGCAAAGGGACAATTGAGGTCAGGGGGTGGAGGTTCCCAGAGGGGCATTGTGCCAAGCATGGCACTGTGATTACAGTGATTACAAGAGCGTGTCCAGGGCAGAAGCCAGCATGGCGGCTCCCAGGGCCTCCTGGGCTTGGCCCTCAGCCCTTCCTGGAGGGCAGCAACCTCAGGGCCAAGCAAGCTGGCGTCTGGCTGGGACCCATGAGACCAGGGAACTGGGCACTGGGCAGAGAGAGAGAGAGAGAGAGAGAGAGACAGAGCGTGGGTGTGTGTGTGCATGTGTAAATGGTCACACTCGTGAGTTCGGGTATGTCTGTGTGAGGTCTGTGGACATCCTTTGTGTGGTGGGCTATGTGTTGTATTCTAGGTGTGCTGCGGTGTCCAGAGGGGAGGCGGTTCAGAACGCACATCACAACTGTGCAAATTTTGGATCCTGGGGTATTGGCAGGCACAGGCCCTGCGGTGGACTGCAGCATGCTGTGATGTCGTGGGCATACGTGCTGCAATGACACATCGGTGGGTGTTTATGTCAGAGGGGTGAGAAGTCCAAGCGTACGCATCGTGATATGCTGTGGCATTTGTGCTGTGGGAATGGAGACGAAGAGTGTATTGTGATGTTCCTGGTGTTTGTGGGCATATGTGGTGTTGTGGTGTCCTGTGGTGTTAGGGTGAATTGTGGTAGTGGGTGCCTGTGTGTAGAACTGGGGCTTGTCTGGTGCGTTGTGTGTGTGTTACAGCATACTGTGCCACATGGCATACTATATGAAGGCTGGGGCCATGGGGTTGTGTCGTATGTTTGTGTATCTGGTGTGTCCCGCGCGTGTATTGAGTGGTGCATGTGACAGTGGGGGGGTGAGATGTGCCGGGGGTATCTGGTGTGTGCTCTGTACGTGTGTGTACATACCTACCAGAGATACACTCACTCAGAGCCAGGCAGGGAGGGGGTGTGGGGAACAGGCATCTCTTACGGGAGCTGACAAGAACGTGCCAGTCTGGCAGGGCCTGCCAGGCCACCCTCTTTCCAGATACCCTGGCAGGAATCCTGCCTACCAAGGCCAGCGCCTCCCCTCTTCCCTTGATAGAGTAGCCCAGAATGAAGCAACAACCAGCCTCAGCCCAGGGATGGGCCTGGCACCCCAGATTGGGCAATGCCAGGCTGTGCTGCCCCTACACTGCCTCCTCTGCCTCTCAGAGGGGCCACCGCAGGACGAGGGCCCAAGGAGAAAGGCTCAGGGGTCCTCCACTCAGACAGTAGGGCAGGACTCACCAGCTGGAGGATGTCCTCATCCTTGGGCATGATGGAGAGCTCCAGAGTGTCATCACTATGGAGATAGGGCAGAGGGTCAGGTGGGCTGAGGCTGGGGCCTGGGAGAACAGGGATCCTACTCGCCACGGCACCCCCAGGGCCAAGTGGGGGGTGTGCACAGAGGCAGTGGGCTGGGAGCTATCATAGGAGAGGCAGGCAGGGGCGCTCACCTATTTTGGATCAGAGCTATGACCTGGGAGTAGGTCTTCCCAATGACGCTCTCCCCGTTCACCTTCACCAGCCGGTCTCCTGGGGACAAAGGCAGGGCCATGTGTGAGTAAGCCAAGGGGTGTCAATGGCCACACCTGAGAAGCCCTGTGCCAGGTATGGATGACAGTGGGGGGACAGGAGCCTCTCCCACACCTGGATCCAAGAATCTTGTCCTAACCAGAAGGAGAGAGCAGAGCCCCAGAGGGTGCAGTGAGCCAGTAACGGGGACAGCTCACCTGTGCGAAGCCCCGCTCTGTGGGCAGGGCCATCATCCTTCACATTCTTGACGAAGATGGTGTCCATGGGCTCCAGGCGGTGCCGGGGGGAGGGTCCTGGTGGGCACCAACCAGGTTAGCGGGGGGGTGACTGCTGAAGTCACACCATGCACAGCTACACAGGGGACACATGCTCAGAATGATCACACTCACCCAGACACAGACATGCACAGACCCACACATCCACAGGGACATTATGCAGAACCAGACAAGAGGACACATATCTGGGACAATAAAAACCCACATGGACACACAGAGTTGCTCCATAATATGCCTACTGTGTTCCCACTGTGGGCTGGAAACTAGACTACAAAGGACGAAGAGATGTAGTCCTCGCCCTTCCGGGGCTCACCTTCTAGTGGGGGAGATGGAGTCATGCACACACATACACACCCAAGTCACAAGACAGAGGAAAGGGGGCTTGTCTGGTGCGTTGTGTGTGTGTTACAGCATACTGTGCCACATGGCATACTATATGAAGGCTGGGGCCATGGGGTTGTGTCGTATGTTTGTGTCTAGCCCCGGGCAGCAGCAGAGGGGGTGGAGGGGTCAACTGGGGCAACAAGTCCCAGGCAAAGTTCCCCAGTCACATGCATTCCCTCTGTCACACCTGCGAATCCCACCACCCCAGCGCCCGGCCAGCTGGAAATCCCCAGTCCAACGGGACCCACGACCCCTTCCCCTGGGGAGCTCCCAGCCCGATGCTGATGCCGGAGGCACCACACACACACACAGGGAAGACTCAGGCAGACACAGATAAGCAAGACAGGCGCAGGCAAGGCTATCAGCTCTCAGAGAGCAGCAGGGCAGGCCTGATTAGCAGGCCTCTGGGGGAGGGGAACCAAGTGCGCAGGCGGTTGGTGGTTGGTGGCCGGAATAAGGGAGCAGGAGTAGGGATCAGCTGAGTTAAGGGAGAAAGTCCACACCAGCAAGTGACAGAAGTCAAATATCCAGGCTTGAAAGAAGAGAAAGAGGGAGCCAAAGAAGGCTCTTTCGTGGGAGAGAGTGGATGTGAAAACACCAGTTAGGGGAAGGATTCTGGCAGTGAGGTGCAGGGGTCAAGGAGACCCACTGGCAGGCTCTGGGATCATCCTGGTGTTGGGGGAAGGGCACTGGATTTGGGGAAGAACTAGGAATGAGGGAGAGGAGAAGTTTGGAGAGACAGGCCCAGCCAGCAGCATGTGGCAGTTTATGGCTGGACCGGACTTTTGGCACCGTTTTGTCTAACCCTCTCCACAGATACACCCATTTCCCAGATGACAGGGCATGACGAGTCCAAGGCCACTTGGTTGCTCAGTGGCAGAGCCAGGGCTGGAACCCACGACTCTGTGGTGCTCCAGCCAGAAGGTGGAGCACAGGAAGGCCGCTGGGCACTGCTGGAGAGTGGCCCTCTGCCCCCACTGATGCGAGCTGACAGCGCGGGGAGCAGGTGGCAGAGGCGGATGGATGCATTTAGACGGCTGAGCTCCCTGTGGGCTCCCAGGCGGGCAGGGAAGGAGGGAAGAACGCAGCCTCCTCCCGCCTTTAAGCCCAGGGCCCCTTCCAGCCTTGGGCAGGTTCTGGAAAGGGGATGGAGCTTGTTCCTGGCTTGCCCTGCTCCAGGGTCTTCCAGCGCCCCCCGTGAGCTAAGGCTCACCACCCAGCCTAGATCACTGCATGCTGCTTCTGTGCCCACCACCCCTCAGCAGGGTTCCCTGAGAGAAGGTGGCAGGAGCCAGGAAGAGGAACATTCTGGGGAAGGACGGAAGGAGGAACTGGGGGTTTCAGGGAACTAGGGGGCTGGTGTCCTTGGGCATCAAGGTGTGGGGCAGTGCCCCTCCAACATGCCATTAGTCCCCACTTAGATTCTTAAGCATAGCTGCAGCCAGTGAGAATGGTTGTGCAGGTACCCCCATTTTCAGACATGTATGTGAGAGCCGCACAGTTACAGGTACACACAACATACATGTACTTAGACACTCTGTGCACACATATATTATAACACCATGGTCGAGGGGTCAGATACCCTCACTGGCCGCCCGCCAAAACCAAACCAAACCAAACCAAACAAAAACAGACGTACACATGCATGTCCATGCCCAACACACTGTGCATACACTTGTGCTCACAGGGACCCTGTCGTGCAAGCACACAGACACAGGCAGTGAAATCCAATGCCTTGGTGCTCTGGCAGGTGGGACCAAGGTCCCCAAGGGAGAGTCCCCCAACAGCTGTGCTGGCTGATCCTAGCCCTGGAGGAAAGGGAGTGTGGGGTTCATTGACTCCAAAGTAAATCTGTCTCCTCCCTGCTGGAAGAGAGGTGGGGAAAGAGAGCAGGGCCCTGATGGGGAGCTCCGGTTGCTGCCTGGGCCCTACTACTGTCTTCTTCCGCACTCCTGCTTCACTGTCAGGGACCCTTCCCCTTAGCCCTCAGCCTTCAGCTGGGCTCAGGACCCTTGGTTCCTGGCCTCAGAGAATCTGACATTTATATTAAGACTGGAAGGGCTCTTAGGGATCAAGTCAGTAAATGCCCTCAGGTTACAAGAGGAGAATTGGAACCCAGAGAGGGTAAGACGGCCCCAAATCCACAGTGAATTATTTGTTCCAGCACCCAATGCTCCTCGTCCCAGCCCAGGGCTCTTGCCAGCACACAGAGCTGTGGCCAGCATGGGCCTGGGGCACTCTGGAAGGGGCCCAAGAGGTGTGTTAGGATAGGTTCCTTAGAGCTCAGGCTGGGGAGGGGGACAGCAGAGCCAGTTCAAAACAGCCAGGGGACAAGGGGGTTCCAGGAACTCCATCTTTTCCAAGATGGCTGTTCACCTTCCAGAGACCAAGCGTCAGGGGTGTGAGGTGATCATCCTGGCTCCCCACCTCTAGGCCCCATGCCCTGGACCAGCCACCCCTCCCCTTCTCCTGAAAAGGCCCAGTCCAGGTGGTTAGGGGGGTTGTCCATGGTCACGCAGCACAGCAACCCAGCCAGGGCTGGCCCTGCCTCCCTGCAGCCCTCCTCCCCAGGCCACAGCAGAAGGGAGTCAGGCAGGAGGACCCCAGGAAGGACTGCTTCCCTGAGAATGTCAAAGGACCATGGAGGGGACTATCACAAAAGAGTCTTCCTGCCCCGCACCAAAGCTTGGAGGGGCAGGCCAGCGCAGAGGCGAGTTGGACATACCTTCAGGCTGCAGTGCACGGCTGACTCGGGTGGGTACACGATGAAGTGGCGCAGAGTGAAGCCAAAGCCATCCTGCAGACTTTTGTGCAGCAGCAGCGTCCTTGGCCCCTGCCAGGGGAGGGGGCGCCCAGGAGAACACCCATCTTGTGGGCCCAGCAGCAGCTGTGTTAGCACAGGGACACAGGAGGATTGACTGCCCATGTGGTCGGCACTCCCAGCTCCACACCTGCCTCCTGCAGCCCAGAGGACTGGAGGGGCACTGGAGGGGATCCAGGCACCCTACCTGCCCCTACCCTCTTCCTCACCCCTTCCTTCCTCTCCCATCCTCAACAGCCCAACAGCTTCTTCCCTCTTTCTTTTCCCCTCAGTCCTCTCATGACACCTCTGCCTCCAGGGAAATAACTCACTGCAGCAAGTTTATTCAGTTCAGTTCAGCAAATGCTCACTGAGCACCTATTATTTGCTGCACACTGGACACAAAGGCTTCCTGCTTGGGAAGTGGCTGGTGCTGTCTCAGCTCATGCACAATCTCACACACACACATATACACACGCACAAACCCGCAGACACACAGACATGCACATGCATGCACTCACACAGATACACACACACACTTATACAGACACAGACACATCTACATGCACCCATGCAGACAACACGCCACAAACATACAGACAAGCACACGTGCAAATGTGCACAGACACACGGATGCACACACACAAATGAGTACACACATGCACACTTATAGACACAGGCATATGCACCGAAGTTACGCACAATCAGTCTTGCACACACGCACACAGCACACATCACAGACCTACAAACACACACACAGCCTTCAGGAGCAGCAGCAGAAAGACATGAGGGACCAGAAAGTCTTGAGGGAGCGGACTGGACATCAGACAGCTGAAGGGGCTTCCCGAGGCTCTGGAGCCCAGCCCAGAGGTCTGGCTCGTTGATCGGAAAGCGCGGGGATGGGGGGGACACTCCACCCTCTGTCTGACCTGTCAGAATACTTGGGATTCCCCAAGATGACATGGCGGAGGGGATGTGAAGACAAAGGTTTGGGAGGGCACACAGGTTTTTTTTCTGGGGCAAGAGGGAGAAAAAGACAGACAGGCCTGAGAGGGCTCCCTTCAGGTCTCCTTCTCAGACACAGAGAGGGAACGTGGGTAACAGGAAGGTGTCAGGTAGATTGTGCCCAGGGAGGCCAACTGGAGACGATGGGAGCCAAGGGAAGGATGCCAAGTTTTGAAAAGCCAGGAGGCCTCCCTCAGGGCCTCTTTAACCCCTAACATTGTTGCCCCTAATCCAAACCCCTCAGAGGGCAAGGAGCTCCCCATCCACACCCTCAACAGTCTCAGCCCCCTCACTCCTCTTTGGTACCAGGCAGGAGTCTTCGGCTGAGGGCTGGGGGCAGAGGGAAGAAGCCCACCCACTGGAGTGAGGAGCTCCCACCTCGCTATTAAATCCCCCTTTTCGCTTCTACTAGCTGGAGAAAGCTCACAAGCACTTGCCACTCAAATGTACGGATGCTACGATATCCTCCCACGTATCGATCCTGCTCACACACGCGGCAGAGGGCAGCTGGCACGTGTGCCTAGCCCTACCCCTACGCTAGGGATTTCTGCAGGGGGTGGGAGCCTGGGCTGAGGTCGATCTCATAAGATGAAAGAAAAATGTGATACAGGAAATAGGCTTCATACAGTCCCAGGAGACAGAGCCAGGTAGAATATATAGGAGGCTGAGGGACGCTCCAGGCAAAGGAGACCATTCTAATCCTATACAGTCTGGAAAACTACCCAGCTGAGGTTATGAGCTCCTCATTCCCGGAAGGGCGCAAGCAAAAGCTGGACAGCCCCAGTCAGGGAAGCCTTAGCAGGGATTCTGGCATCAGGGGA